CATTGAGCTAGCAGGTTAGCATTGTCCATCTATATACAGGCCATGGCTCCACCGACACTATTTGCACTGAAAGTTGACCTTGGTTGAATCACTTTAAGATGATAAAGAGATCCTTGATTCGTCTCACAGAGGGGAAATTTCAGTGTTGCATCACCAGTTATAGAACAGTAGGAAGGAGGAGAGCGCAGTACAAGATAAATGAATAATAACTCTATACTAAAGTAGAATAAGATAAGATAAAATATAATAAAATCTCTAACTATAGCATATAAAGAAGCCGTATAAAATCTCTATCTTTAGCATAATGTGGAAAGAAGTCTAAAATCTCCAACTTATTTAAACCAAATCACATTTAAAGCCAACGTATTTGGCGTGTGTGTGTGTGTGTGTGTGTGTGTGTGTGATTTCTGTCCGTACTTTGAATGATAGACAATAAAGTTATTCTATTCTGTGCAATGAGTAACTGAAGTGTTTTCTTTTTAGTGAAGATGGAAAACCAGCACAGAACCTTCAGAGTCTCATTACTTCACACACAAGGACACTGAGGTCTCTGCAGGTCAGGGTTTAGCTTCAAAAACACCTCCCTCACTTTGTCACTGAGCAGAGAAGCAGCCTCCTCACCACAGCACAACGGTAAGAATTAAGTAGTATATTTCATTATAAGATTTTTTAATTGTTAAGCACACGAGGCAACTCAAAGTGCCTAACAAAACTAGATAGACACAATACAAGGTCCAATCCTTCAGTTGTAAGCAGATAAAAATAACTGTTTTTAAGCTGAGATTGAACATTGTCAGAGGAGAAGCCTGTCTCACGTATTCAGGAAGACTGTCCCGGGTTATAGCTGCTTAGGCTGACTCTGGGCACCAGCAGGAGGCCGGTCCCTGTGCTCCTCAGAGTCCCAGCAGGAGGCCAGTCTCCAGAGATGTACAGTACTTTGAGGCCATGGAGAGACTTGTAACAGAGTTGATCTAAAGTCTATTCCCTGAGCCACAGGACATAAAAGAAAATCTAGTGTTCCTACACTTTATTGTTCTCGGAATCAGAAAAAACCCTGTCATTTAAAACTATCTGATGCAGCAAATGTATCACATGTAGCCTGCAAGTTTTGAAGAGTGTTTTTTATACCTAGAAATAGCTCTATTGTGGTTTTAATAATACAGTAATAACAATAATAATAATAACACAGACTTACGCAGTACACATTTTTGGACACTTGAAGACACTTTACAAAGAGACAGGTTCAAAAGACTGTGTTACAATAAAGTCATCCATTACAGTAATCAGTAACTTGCCCTGCTACACAGAGATCTGACGGGATAAGACCATTCCATTTCTTTCCGTTACTTCATAACGTTTGAATTGGGTATTGGGCATGGATCTATAATAATAACGGTATTGAGTAGCTTTTGTCATGGACCTATATAATATATCTGCTAGACAAGCATTCCCTATCCGTTTGTTAAATACAGTATCATTATATTAGTTACGGGCGCAATGAAACGTTTATTATTATTTTGTTCATGTATTTATTTAATTATTATTATGTGCGAAACCGTTGTAATCTTCTGGACCGGCGGAACCACTGTTTTTGCTCTTGTTCCTACACGGATGTCAAACCCTGTGCACCGCTCAGCTGTCAAGTGAAACCAGTGTAAACAAACGTGTTTCTGCTTTCCTCCTGCAATTCTCGCGTCTATATCGTTTTTATTTTATTTTTAATGATCGGGAACTCAACATTACGGGTTTATTGTTTCACTTTTGGGGATAAATTAAAAACCAGGCGCTGATTCAGTCTCATAACCTTGAGAGGTAAGTTTGAGTTTCTCTGTTTCTAGCTTCGGACTTTAGCGACCGGCTGATTTCGCCACTGAATCTGTAAATAACTTGTGTAATCAGCGGTGACATGTTTTTCTAACGCTTTGAAACATGTTTTTGGTTCAGTATTTGGTTTTATGGTCGTGTAACACCTCTTGTACCACAGCCATCAGTCCCTAGGCTGCAGTGGTTCTTGGACCTTAACCCAATGAGAGATTATCGTGAACTCTTGATCAATAGGCTACACTCTGATCGTCCATCATTCAACCTTTAATCGTCAGTGAATTGCGTTTTTGAAATCTCTCCATGACATGTCTGTGCGATATGAAGCAACACGGACTCTGAGGAGCACAGGGACTGGCCTCCTGCTGGGACTCTGAGGAGCACAGGGACTGGTCTCCTGCTGGGACTCTGAGGAGCACAGGGACTGGTCTCCCACTGGTGCCCGGAGTCAGCACTAAGCATTAGGAGGCAGCAGTTCAGATTTATGCTACATAAATTGGAATAATCTTCCTGAAAATGTGAGACAGACGTTGTCTCTGACAATGCATTAAAGTATATGATAAATGGCAAGCAGTGTTGCCAACTCCTCAGTAAGGAAAGTAGCTATTGGCTGTCCCAAAAGTCGCTAGAAGTCGCTAAATAACGTCATCGCCTAATTTGCATAATTGGCAATTTGCAAATAACTGTAACGGACGCTGTAGGCGAGAGGAATAAGGTCGTGGGAGAGACAAAAGTGAGTAAAAAACACCCTAAATATGTTTAGAACTACAAATGTACAAAAATAATTTCAACATTAACAACATTTAATGATTTTAATGCTTTGTCTAGATCCACATTACACACATCAGTTTTGTCCTGTATTGTTAAATGTTATAACAGCAAATGTAATCAAAAGATTGTTATGTAGGGTGAAATTGCTAGCTCTACAACCAACCCTCCTCCTTTATCCGGGCTTGGGACCGGCAAAGTGACCCAAAAGACACACTCTGGCATAGTTACTTAGGTTTATTTTTATAAGTTTTTTTTTTTTTTTCATATTTTGGCATAACAAATGATTTAATGTGACCCACTACTGAGAGAAAACAGAGTCACGGACAGAGCTGCCGCGGATGGAGTGGGGGTAGTGGGGGGTGGCGGTGGTAGGAGTGGCCGGGGAGCTTTGGATGTGTGGTGGTGGTGGAGCTGAAGTTCAGTCTGCAGCAGCCTGAAAACTTCCTGTGCTTTTGAGTCTCCTCTCTCTCTCTCTGCTCCGCCCATAGACTGTAGCTGGGACTGCTGCGCAAGGCTACTGTGAGACTGGCCGCCTGTAAGTGCTTTGGGACGGGGGAGGGGCTCACGTTGAGGACAGTAACTGCAGAACAATACATGCTTCACGCCAGAGTCTCAAACACCAGATAAGTCTCCAATAACACCAGAAAAAGTCGCTAGATTTGTCGCTAGTCGCTTTTTTGAAAAAAAGACGCTATAGGGGTCTGAAAAGTCGCTAAATCTAGCGACAAAGTCGCTAAGTTGGCAACACTGAGTGGCAAGATTCAAATGTATATTTGATGGGACAATACATTTTGAACTATTTGACTGGTAACAGGTAAGTCTGATATTACAAAAACACATGTTTTTAATGGAATGAACAAGACCTGAGCTGTAATGTACTGTGCATTAATGTAACTTACTTTCATTATACAGTGCCTTGCGAAAGTATTCGGTCCCCAAAAAGATTTCCCAAGCTTTAAACATCTCAAGGAGCACTGTGCAAGCAATTATATTGAAATGGAAGGAGTATCAGACCACTGCAAATCTACCAAGACCCGGCCGTCCCTCCAAACTTTCATCTCAAACAAGGTGAAGACTGATCAGAGATGCAGCCAAGAGGCCCATGATCACTCTGGATGAACTGCAGATAACTACAGCTGAGGTGGGAGAGTCTGTCCATAGGACAACAATCAGTCGTGCACAGCACAAAGCTGGCCTTTATGGAAGAGTGGCAAGAAGAAAGCCATTTCTCAAAGATATCCATAAAAAGTCTCGTTTAAAGTTTGCCACAAGCCACCTGGGAGACACACCAAACATGTGGAAGAAGGTGCTCTGGTCAAATAAAACCAAAATCAAACTTTTTGGCCACAATGCAAAACGATATGTTTGGCGTAAAAGCAACACAGCTCATCACCCTGAACACACCATCCCCACCTCAGCTGTAGTTATCTGCAGTTCATCCAGAGTGATCATGGGCCTCTTGGCTGCATCTCTGATCAGTCTTCTCCTTGTTTGAGATGAAAGTTTGGAGGGACGGCCGGGTCTTGGTAGATTTGCAGTGGTCTGATACTCCTTCCATTTCAATATAATTGCTTGCACGGTGCTCCTTGAGATGTTTAAAGCTTGGGAAATCTTTTTGTATCCAAATCCGGCTTTAAACTTCTCCACAACAGTATCTCGGACCTGCCTGGTGTGTTCCTTTGTCTTCATGGTTCTCTCTGCGCTTTAAACAGAACCCTGAGACTATCAAAGAGCAGATGCATTTATACGGAGACTTGATTACACACAGGTGCATTCTATTTATCATCATGAGTCATTTAGGACAACATTGGATCATTCAAAGATCCTCACTGAACTTCTGGAGCGAGTTTGCTGCACTGAAAGTAAAGGGGCCCAATAATATTGCACGCCCCACTTTTCAGTTTTATATTTGTTAAAAAAGTTTAAATTATCCAATAAATGTCGTTCCACTTCACGATTGTGTCCCACTTGTTGTTGATTCATGACAAAAAATTAAAATTTTATATCTTTATGTTTGAAGCCTGAAATATGGCGAAATGTTGAAATAATACTTTCGCAAGGTACTGTATATTTAATATATACAATTCTGCAGGAATATCAACCATCAAAGCAGTTTTGTTGATGGTGACTTGGCCCACTGTTGTATGAACATGTTAATCCACTACTGTTGTTGACACATTGTCAGTTTGGTTAAAGCAAGACAAAGTTCAGGTAATAATTAAAGCGCTAAAATATTGACTTTAGTGAACGGCTGCTGGATTTCTCTGATCTATTTACATTGTGCGTCCTCATTTTAAAGATCAGAAGTCTATTTTACACAACATGTTGACCTCTAATAACTTGACTTTTTCAGAGAATAAATGTTTTGTTGTTGTAAGTACTTCCTCCTCTGTCCACAGTCTGGAAGAATGGCCCAGTCCGACAGCAAAGTCCTGCTCCTGGGGGCCCTGGCCGGAGCCGCAGGTCTGGGTCTGGCAGTGGCCTGTTATCAGGGCTATGGCACGCTGCGGCGCAGACACTCGATGCCGGCGCAGGCTCACCGCGCCGCGCTGCAGAGCCGCAGCAGCGAGCTGGTGTCTGGGCTGGTGCTGGCGGACGGACTCCCCAGGGGCCAGGCCGAGGTGCTGGACCGGCTGGAGGCCCTGATCCAGTGCGTGTCGGAGCTGAAGGAAGAGATGAAGTCCCTGAAGACTGCGCTGCCCTCGCTGCAGGAGGCCGTGAGGGACGAGCTGAGCGCCTCCCACCGAGCCAGCCCTCTGCACAGAGCAGGAGCCGCCCGGAGGAGGAGAGCCGCCGCCGCCAGAGCCGAGAGGAGCTCTGAGGAGGCGGAGAGCGAGGGAGGGTGAGTGCAGCTGCAGTGGTTCTGTCTGGGTTTTATCAGGCCTTCATGGGCGGCACGGTGGCTGAGTGGTTAGCCTTCTCGCATCTGAGCAATTCAACTCCCGGTCAAAACAGGGCTTTTCTGAGTGGAGTTTGCATGTTCTCCCCATGTCTGCGTAGGTTTCCTCCGGGTTCTCTAGTTTCCCCTACCACTAAAAACATGCACCCTATGAATGTAATGAGTGAGTAAAATGGATGGTGTTTGGTCGGAGGCTTTGATGGTCCAGTGTGTTCGGTGACTCGCCTCCGTCATCACCGTGTGGAGAGAACGGGAAACCAACTAAACTCGGAACAATTGTAAAGCGCTTTTTTTTTACCTTGGTCTGAAGCTTTACAAATGTGATATATAAAAGTGCTATATACAGTATATATGAACCTTACTGACTTACTTCATAGAGAGCACTTCATGTTCTTCTCCTTATTCCGCTGGTTTTCTAATCTTTCTAATCGCACAGAGACAAAAAAAGCCTTGATGGAATGGTGAACTTATTGGAGTTTGGCAGACGGTCATCTCTCTGTGACCTGTAGATCGTGGGAAAGGCTTTTGTCATGTTTTTGAATGGGTTCCACCTGTTAATGTTAATGATTATGTTAATGATTCAAAACGGTTCATTTTGTCTTGAGTTAAAATGTTTTCTTTTTCTAATTCTTTTGAAAGACAAGTCTGATCTATTACCTGTCTACATCTAACTTGTCTTTCAAAGGAACCACGCAAAAAAGTATGTAAATGGCTTGAGTTTTGGGGTGGTTTGGTGCCCTATGCTGCTCAGATGGATGGTTCTTGGTGGAATGAAAAACATGGTCTGAATGAATGGAGTTTTTAGCGTCGAAATGAATGCTTTTGCACAGTATGAGGAGAGGGGCAGAGGAGATGTGTGGATTCAGTATTTTACAGTATTGCTGATATTCTGCCAATAATCTGGGGACTTTTGCAAATATATTTTTATGTGGTTTTTACTGCAAAATATATCCATCTATTTTTGCTGACGTCCAAAACAAATCGCCTCAGTTGTTTTAGAACACTCAATGACATTTTAGTCCAACAATCGCTGCCTATGTCTGAATCACGGTCATGAGTCTGAACCACGGTGGCTTTTGTGTGACTAGATTGTGCCTGAATGTGTGTGATATGAGAGAAGTGCATCACTGTATTCTATGTGCACTGAGGATAACTATTATGTTTTTAATCAGACTGTAAACTAGTGTGTTTTAGGTGTGCTTTGCCATTATATTACTTACTTACTTGTACTGCTTACCGTACTTCTGAACATTGTAAAGTGCTTTGGGTGACCTTGGTCTGTAAAAATGCTCTATATAAATAAACATTACTTCTTCCTTTAATCCACATGTGTCAAAGTCAAGGCCCGCGGGCCAAATCCGGCCCGCGAATGAATTTTACATGGCCCGTTGCCTGCCATTGACGCACTATTACGTCAATTGCGTTTTCCGCTATTTTCATGTTCCCAGATGTCTATTATATCTTATGTATGGGGATAAGCTTGAGAGCATATTGAATCGAGCCAGCAGGTGGCAGCAGCGCTCTCTGAATGGTTTGAAAACAGCTAGATGCACTTGTTGTGCCTCTTTTTTCTCAGCTTTTTGGTGATTTCAGTAAAACTTCCCTCTACTCAACTGAGGATTACAAGCTAGAAACAAAATTCTTTTTGCTGATGAAAGTAGACAGTCCATTCTTTCAGAATCTGGTTTCGGATTTCATATGTCATAGTACACAATATTCTGTGGGTCTTGAAAAATCTATAAAAATCATCAGAAACTGCTGGCAATATGGGAGTACCTGTTCTGAAATAGGCTGGCAGGCAATGAGTTAATAAACATTGAACCAGTCCGGCCCTCGGCTCGCATTTGACTTTGACATGCCTGCTTTAATCCAATGGAAAGAGTGTTTTAAAAAGTAAAATGTTGTTGATGTATCCACTCAACTCTACTCTAACTGGTTTGTGTTGATATGGAGTACAGTATTCTAACGGCCTATCCACAACAAACCAGTATACGAGGAAATTCCTTGGTAACCATGGCTTCCAACAGCCCTCTGTCCAATCACTGTCAGTCAGAACACTTTAGCACCAGCTCGGCCTGGACAGAACCAGGACCAAGAGGGACTAAAGGAGGACCTGGTACTGGTTACACAGGACCAGACCAGGGTCAAGAGGGTCAAATCTATAACCAAGAGGTTATAGATTTGTTGTGGACAAACTCTGGGAGAGTGCAGCACCAATTCTGCCCAGATTTTTACATATTACTTCTTTAACCAAAATAATAAATCCAACGACCACAAAGTCACAGGAGATGAGTAGCTACACCTCTGACTACTGAGTTCCACACTTAAAATCAAATCACACCGGTCCTTTAACTTTTATCTGTCACTTTTGCCCCGACACATCTGACGGATAGCTTCCTCAAAGCCCTTATGCGCTTCACAGAAATCTCTCCTCTCATAATTAAAGGCATTTTCAGCCGCTCTGTCATCTGCAGAACCACAGCCCCAGGTCACACGGACATCCCCTTTAAAAACACCACCTGATTCTGCTCCACCGCCTCCGCTCCATTCACAAAACAGTCAAAGTCATCTGCTCAATGCTGCCAATACTCAGAGGATTCAACATGTGTCTGGTTTTAACTTAATGTAGTTCAAAATGCTTCACAACAGCAAAATACATACACAACAAAACAATAACAGAAACCTCATACAAGTCATTTATAGTCGCACAACAGCAGAACAAAAATAAAATAAAATAAAAGTAGATTAACCCAAATAGTGGGTTTTAAGTTAATTATAGTGGAAGAAATACTAAATATACTAAGTACAGATGATGGGGGAGTAACCTTCCTGTTTTTGTAGTTGTAGTACCTTCAGTGGCCAACAGAGGGCGCTGCTCACGTTGGGATGTGAGAAACGGCTCATACATGTGTATATATATATTTATCAGTTCATACTTTACATTATTGTACACCATAGCCTCTCCTAAACCGACAAGACCCTAAGACTAGTTATTTATTATTTTTATTTCACCAAGAAAGTCCCATTTAGTTTTCAAAGGAGTCCTGGACCAGAGGCAGCAGAAGTTACACACAGGTACATACATTTACAGATTATTAAAACAGTTACATACGATTTCCAATCCACTTTATTCATATAGAACATTAAACCGTTTCCAAAGGGCTGCACAAAAAAGTGTAATTAAAACAAATCCATAGTAAAGCAGTAAAATCATTATAAATTGGATAAGATAAAGCCACACATGAAACCACCTGTGAATATAACAATAACAGAACAATAACTTAACATAAAAGGATCATACAACAAAAGCCAGAGCGTAAAAAATGGACTAAAAACACTCCACAGAACGATGGAAGAATTACATGAAATTACAGATGATAAAACAGTTACGGGTCAATGAGGATTAAACACTTTCAATGAAATAAGTTCATTTCCAGTTGTTTTGTAAAACCAGGAATAAGGAGCAGACGATAGACTTTTTATCCCAACTCTGCGTAAACGGAACAACCGGGATTAAGTGAAGGAGGACTCAACAGGAATGTGATGATAATAATGATTTAATGAATAATAATCATCATAATAATCATAATAATAAAAATCTGGAAAAACAAAACTCCAAAATACAGAAGAACCAGGAACAAGACAGATACAATGAGAGACACAGGTACATATAGACACAGAGAGACACAGGTACATATAGACACAGAGAGACACAGGTACATATAGACACAGACAGACACAGGTACATATAGACACAGAGAAACACAGGTGCATATAGATACAAAGGTACATATAGACACAGAGAGACACACAGGTAAATATAGACACAGAGAGACACAGGTACATATAGACACAGAGAGACACAGGTACATATAGACACAGGTACATATAGACACAGAGAGACACAGGTAAATATAGACACAGAGAGACACAGGTACATATAGACACAGGTACATATAGACACAGAGAGACACAGGTACATATAGACACAGAGAGACACAGGTACATATAGACACAGACAGACACAGGTACATATAGACACAGACAGACACAGGTACATATAGACACAGAGAGACACAGGTACATATAGACACAGAGAGACACAGGTACATATAGACACAGAGACACAGGTACATATAGACACAGAGAGACACAGGTACATATAGACACAGAGAGACACAGGTACATATAGACACAGACAGACACAGGTACATATAGACACAGAAACACAGGTACATATAGACACAGACAGACACGGGTACAAATAGACACAGACAGACACGGGTACAAATAGACACAGAGAGACACAGGTACATATAGATACACAGGTACATATAGACACAGAGAGACACAGGTACATATACACAGGTACATATAGACACAGAGAGACACAGGTACATATAGATACACAGGTACATATAGATACAGAGAGACACAGGTACATATAGACACAGACAGACACAGGTACATATAGACACAGAGAGACACAGGTACATATAGACACAGAGAGACACAGGTACATATAGACACAGAGAGACACAGGTACATATAGACACAGAGAGACACAGGTACATATAGACACAGAGACACAGGTACATATAGACACAGAGAGACACAGGTACATATAGACACAGAGAGACACAGGTACATATAGACACAGAGAGACACAGGTACATATAGACACAGAGAGACACAGGTACATATAGACACAGAGAGACACAGGTACATATAGACACAGAGAGACACAGGTACATATAGACACAGAGAGACACAGGTACATATAGACACAGACAGACACAGGTACATATAGACACAGAGAGACACAGGTACATATAGATACACAGGTACATATAGACACAGAGAGACACAGGTACATATACACAGGTACATATAGACACAGAGAGACACAGGTACATATAGATACACAGGTACATATAGATACA